TGAGGTTTGGTGGAAATCAATGGCCTGGAGTGACTGTCTGATTCATGGTGCCAAGCACTGGGCTTATGTTCTGGGCCTTCTTCTGACTTGGTCTCAGACACTTCACCACTTCAGCTTTCTATGTACCTTCTATTCATCTCATACTTGCTAACTTTGACTACTGCTTCCCTTCCCACCCTCTTTTCCTGCTACTTACCCCTTCAAAGGTGCATTCTTACTTTCTGATTGAATTGATTATATCAGCCCCAAACCTGCCAAATTCCTAGAACAGATCAGCCAGCACCCGACCTCCCAGGGTAGCCCAGGTGATTGTAGGAAATGGGACCAGTGAAACTTACTTTCTTTTTTCTTTTCTTTTCTTTCTTTCTTTTTTTTTTTTTTTGCAGATAGATTCTTGCAGATAGATTCAGATTGGAGGTTGTTATTGTTCCCTAGGCAACCACCATAGATGAATTTGGAGCATGCCTGAGCTTCCTTATCATACCACCAGCGTGGAAAGAAGGCCAGGCAGGGGCCAACCACCTTTGGTAAACTGCATATGTCTGCAAGGAGACTGCAGAGTAGAGCAGTTTGGGTGCCTGCCTCCCTAGAGAACATTTCAGACATGTGCAAAGTCGTGCAGGAGTGGCCACTCACACCCCTCCATGCCTTTGCACCTGCCTGGAATGCCCACCTCTCTCTTGCCACTAGATACAACCCTTTTCATTATTCAAACACTCCTCAGATATCAAACACTTCTATGCTGCCTTTCCTGGCTCCATGCTTCACTCCTTGCTTTTCTATATTGCTTCTCAATCTTACACACACATTTATCGCTTCTATATGATTATTTGTTTGTATTTTCTGACTCCTCCATGAGAATGTGAGATTTGTGCCTTACGTCATCTTGGTACACCAGTTCCTTGCAAATAATTTGCCACTGAGTGGATGCATCAGGAATATTCACAGTAAAACACACACACACACACTCTCTCTCTCTCTCTCTCTCTCTCTCTCTCTCTCTCTCTCTCAATAAACAAACCAACCAACAAACAAACAAACAAATAAAATCGCTGATGTGGTTGGGCATTGTCCTGTGCACTGAAAGGTCACTGGTTCAATTCCTGGTCAGGACACATTCTGGCATGCAAGCTAATTCCCAGTAGGGGGCATACAGGGCACAGCTAATCCATGTTTCACTCTCACATAATGTGTTGTTTTTCTCTCTCTCTCTCCCTTCCTCTTTCTAAAAAATAAAAAATATTTTTAAAAATCGAGTGTATCCTGAATCTCAAAAAGCATTTTAGAGCAAATATCTTGTACATACTACTAAGAGGAATAAAGAGCAGTTTTGTTGTTGTTGTTTTGTTTTTCAGAATCATATAGTTTAAGATTTCACAGGTCTTAAATTATGGATCTTTTTACCCTGAAAAACTTTACTGAGTTCCCTGGCTACACTGAGCAAATGAAGCCTATCATTGATGTCAGAGAAACCAGTAAATATTTGTAAAATGAATGAATGGATAAATACTCCTCAATGGTCTTCTTTAGAGCTCAACTATATGAGCAGAGAGGAAAGACTGAAGGAGGACAAAAGTGGTTAGGGAAAACATTTTAAATGTATATAGACAAAGAGGCTTGACTCCCAACACCCCCTCCTTCCAAGTCCAGGATTTGTATTAATTGAAAGATGCACCCGGACTGTTGATTAGACGCCAGCCATCAGTGAACCCCGGAAGTGGTCTAATAATGTCAGTGTAGGTGACAATGTCAGTGGTCTAGTAATGTCAGGGCAGAAAGTGGGGCATTGGATAGTTCAGGGGATTTCTGAGTTACCTTGTTGGAGGTTTAAACATTTCCTTGCACAGTTTAAGTCACAACACTTCATCTTCTCTGGGCACTGCCTGTTCTTTAGACATTCGTTTGTTTCTTTCTTATCACAATGTACTTTGATTTTGGGACACGTGTCTAAGGGGAGGGAAGAAAGGACTTTGAAGGGGCCAGAACACCATCCCCAGGTCTAGGGCACCACTGCAGACTTAGGGAAGTTTGTTTTCACTTCATTGTCCACAGAAAGCAGTGATCTTCAGAGGGCTTGTGATTGGCACATTGCTGCCCCCATCTCCACCCCATAACAATTGCCATAGACAGTTTCCTGCATTCCCGGAGGCATCTTATCTGAAAAGAAGAATCCAAAAATCTCTCCTCTTTCCCACCCAGGATCCCAGGCTAAGGTGGGGGTGGGGGGTGGGAGGTGGGGGAAGCATTTCTCAGGGTTAGAATTATTTGTTCTTTCCTCCCATCTGAGTTCCTTTCTCTACTGAGAGGACTGAGTCCCCAATACTTACATAAGAACCCCTCAACCAGCCCATGTTCCTGGACACTACCCAGGAAGATGAACAGTACCAGTATTGACAGAAGTCCTGAGAGCCCCATTTTAGGAGGGGCTGGTCTGGCTGGTGGCACCCAGACTAAGAATGAGTCTAAGCAGCAGCTTCAGAGCTTTTGGCTGCCCTGGCACAGCTTACCACTCCGAGAGGCATAAGGAACTGGAGACCAGCCTGTTACTCTCCCTCCTCCAAGAAACACCAAGTCCCCGAGGCCATCGGTGCTACTATTATAGCTGACACCCACAGCACCAACCCTGAGGGAAGGGGCTCTTGATAGGCAGCACTTAGTCCTCAAGTGAGCTGAGGCTCTCTGGCTGTCTGGTCAACCAGAGAGAGAGAGAGAAGGGACAAAGTTTATCTGGGGCTTCTAAACTCCTTTAGCAGAGGGAATGTTCGATTCCAAGGTCTTTCATTTTTCAGGGAGAGTTTGGAGGTCAAGAGTATCCTAGGTCTTCTCTTTTTTTTCAACCTACTCTTCTCCTGGCATGTTTAGTTTTCTGTCTGCTTGTTTTTCCTCACACTGTTTATTTTCTTCTCTCTGTGCCTCCTTTTACTCTGGCCCTGCCTCTCTCTCTCTCTCTCTCTCTCTCTCTCTCTCTCTCTCTCTCTCTCTCTCTCTCTTTTCTGTGAGTCTCTCACAGTCTGGGTCTCTTTCTCCCTGCCCTCCTATTTCCCTCGGGTCCTTTTCCTCTTTCTTCTCTTTGGGACACCCCTTTTCTTTAGCCATTGCCAGACAGTAAAGCTACTGGCATGAATAGCATGGAAGGGAGGAGATGGTTGATTTCAGATTGAACCAAATCTTCAGAGGGCCTATCAAGATCATGGTGCTTTGAAAGCCGGAGAGAATGTTAGGTCTAACGGAGAGCTTCTATCATCGGGTTCCGTTCGGAATAGGTGATGCAGGAGGGAAATAGTAAATAAATGGCAGTTATGACCCCAGAACCAGCTGAATCAATGGGTGGGGCCAGAAAATTATTCCATTGAACTTTCCAATTTAAGGCTTGAAGCATCAGTAAGACATACTCCCAGCTCACCTGCAGCTGCAATTCTAATGTCCTTTTTTATTTCTAATCCATTTTTTATAATTGAGATGGAATTCACATTTTTATATTTAATATTTTTATTAAATATTTATATTTAATATATTTTAAATATATATTTTATTGATTTTTTTTTTTTTACAGAGAGGAAGAGAGAGGGATAGAGAGTTAGAAACATCGATGAGAGAGAAACATCCATCAGCTGCCTCTTGCACACCCCCTACCGGAGATGTGCCCGCAACCAAGGTACATGCCCTTGACCAGAATCGAACCCGGGACCTTTCAGTCCATAGGCCGACTCTCTATCCACTGAGCCAAACCGGTTTCGGCAATTAATCATTTTAAGTGAACAGTTAAGTGGCTTTTTAGTACCTTCATGATGCTGTGTAACCATCACCTTTATTAGTTCCAAAACATTGTCATCACAAGAGAAAACTCCACACGCATTAGCAGTCACTCTCTATTTCCCCCCAGCCTTACTCCGCTAATTTATTTTCTACTTCTATGAGGTAGATTATGGCAATCACTAATCTATTTTCTACCTCTATGAGCTTGCTTATTCTGGATATTTTATATGAATGGAATCATAGAGTGTATGGCCTTTTGTGACTGGCTTCTTTCACTTAGCGTAATATTTTTGAGGTTCACCCACAACGTAGCATGTATTCATGCTTCCTTCCTTCTTGTGGCTGAATAATATCGAATGCATATTGATAGCTTTCCATTTCAAGCGTCAGAGTATCTACTTCCCTGCTGAGAGTTTTCCCTGGCTCTTGGGAGCTTGCTCAGATTCCATACAGAACAGCCTGGAAGAATGAGGGATTTCATGCCCCCCAGACATCCGGGAGAATATGGAACTCAGTGGACACACACCTCAGCTTGCCCAGAACTGAAGACGGAGACATGTTTTACATGGTCTTGTGGAAAGTCTCCAGTAGAATTAAGCTACAGTTTGCACAGAGGTAGACAGCTCATTATATAACCCTTGTTTTCCTATATCACTTACCCACTCCTCAAATTTATCTCCCAAATAAACTACTTTTACCCATGCCCTTGTCCTAGGATCAATTACTGGGTATCCAAGCTAAGGAGCTCTTGTTATAAAAGGGTCTTGCAATTTTTTTTCTTTTTTTTAAGAAACAGAGGATAATAACAATATCCCTGGGGTATCAGTTTTCAAGGTTCTGATTTTCTTCACTCCCTTTAATGGAGTCTTCAGAAGCCTCGGTAAGCTTTTACTCTCCACATACCATAATGTGCCAACAGATGTGAGTCATTCAGTCTTAGAGGCACAGGATCAAATAGAGTACTTTATTGGGGAAAACTGGGAGCTACACAGGTATAAAGAGAGGTTGCGAGAAGTTGGACAGTAGAAATGGGATCAAAACATGATATTTTATATGAAAAGAGGTTAAAATGGAAGAGGGGGGAAGCAGATTCAGGGGTTCCATCTTGGGAAGGGCTAAGGCCTTGTAATGCGGGGAGTGGAACAGAGGAAGCCAACTTGGAGTGCCGATCAGGCACATAGACAGAGCCTTGAATCATGAGCCCAATCCTGGTGGTGTTCCGGTTAATTCATATGCATTCAGGATTAGAAGCCTGTTGAGAATGTAGACCAAGATCAGCTGAGCAGCTTGGGCTTGCCTTCAGAACTAGTCTTGAAGTTGTGTTTGAACATTTCCACAGGACATTAAACAGAAGTGAGTTTACTTTGGGATGCTATACATCTCCTTAAAGGAAAAATGGATGTAGATGGGAGTGGAATACTAGCAAGGCATTGTGGTTGGCCAACATGCCCAGTGCTAGGCTGGGTGTCATGTGACCTCTGTGAAGTTGGCTCTCTGAGATTTCACCACATCTGCACCCTCCCTCCACTCCTCATGCTTGCCAGCTTTCATTCATGACCACGTTTTCCCCCCAGTCTCTGTACCCAGGAAGCCCCTGTCCAGCCCTCTGTGAGATTGATTCTTACCTCCTGATTGGAGCTTATTGTGTCAGCACCTAGTCTGCCAAGGTTGCAGCCTTCCTAGAATGGACTAGCCAACAGCCAGACCTCCCACGTGGCCCTGGTGAGGATGGGATATTGAGGCCCCTGGAACTCACGTTTTTTGGAGCAAAAATTCTGACACAGATCTTTGGTTTGGAAGTTGTTTCTGTTTCCTTGGCAGCCACCATAGATGAAGATGGAACAGGTATCATTTTCCTTATTATACCACCAGCGATGAAAATAGGCCAGGCAGACACCAGGATCTTGCGGCAGACTGCATATATCTGCAGGGAGATCCCAGAGTTGAGAACTTGAGTGCCCACCCTGAAAAAATACCACTTGTTATTGTCCCTTTGACAACCCCCATAGGATGAACCTGAGCAGGCTCTTTTCTCCTTATCACACTGTGGGGCCCAGCTCCATTGATGTATTGTGCACATTGGCAGGGAGACCCTAAAGTGGAGCTGTTTGGGCATCTGCCTCTCCGGAAAACATCGGTATCTCCCTCCCCTTCTGGTCACCGGCCTCATTGTCTCCCCTGAGAGTGAGGAGACTCCAGTTTCAAGTTTTTTTTTTCCTAATTCAGTGTCTGCGCATCCATCTCCCACATTACCTATCTTGTTCTCGACTTCCATTTCTGTAAAACGGAAATGCACAGTCTCACCCTGCTTGTTGCACAGGGCTGTCCTGCGGGCAAGTGAGACCACCCTCACGGCCCTCTAAGTTGCGAGCCCTTTGACTGTATTTGAATGTGCAGCTTTGAGCACAGTGCTTGGCAGAGAGTAGCGGATCAATAAACATGCCCGGAATAAATAAAAGATATGGAAATTAGAAATTATAAGCCATTCACTCTGCCTTCCAAAGCATGCCAAGAAGAGACTATGTGATTGTGAGTCAAGTGCGAGTCCCTTGCAGGGAAGGTGAGAGTAGTTTTTCAGATGGTCAAGGCCCCTTTCTTCCTGTGGTTAGTTTCATTCCTGATATGGAATGAATTGCATGCTCCCCCTCCCCTATCCCCCAACTCATTTATATGCTAAAGTCCTAATCCTCGTACCTCAGAATGTGACCCTATTTGGAAACGGAGTTGAGTTATACTGGAATAGGGTGCATCTTTGATCCAGTATGACCAATGTCCTTAAAAAAAGGAGAAGTTTGTTCACAGACACACACGGGGAGAACACCATGTGAAGTTGAAGACAGAAGTCTACAAGCCAAGGAATGCCAACCATTCCCAGCATACCCCCGGGAATTAGGCGAGAGGCACACAGCAGATTCTCACACATAACGGAGAAAGAACCCACCCTGCTAGCACTTGACCTTGGACTTCCAGCCTGCAGAACAGTGAGACAATAGATTGCTGTTGCTAACGCCGCCCATTCTGTGGTACTTTGTTTCTGCAGCCCTAGCAAACCAAAACAGGTCCGAACTAAATTGCTATTAATAGTTCAGCTGAACAGTTAAGGCCTGTTGATTTTCACTTCCTCGCAGCTGACCTCTCTGCCACCTTTTTTCTTAAATTTTCATTTATTTATTTTTCAATTACAGTTGACATTCAATATTATATTAGTTTCAGCAAAGTGGTTAGATATTTTTATAACTTATGAAGTGATTTCCATAAGTCTAGTATCCATGTGACACCTTACAGAGTTAATACAATATTTAAAAAAAATTTTTCAATTACAGTTGACATTCAATATTATTTTGTCTTAGTTTCAGGTGTACAGCATAGGAGTTAGACAATCATGCTTTACCAAGTGTTTCCCCTAATATTTCCAGTATTCAACTAGCACTATACATAGCTATTACAATCTTATTGGCTATATACGTCCCTGGGATTCTTTTGTAACTGCCAATGTGTACTTCTTAGTGCCTTTATCTTTCACTCAATCCTGGATCCTCCTCCCATCTGGCAACCATTAATTTGTTCTCTGTTTCTGTTTTGTTTTTTAGTTTCCACATATAAGTATTGGTCTTTTTTGTCTGACTTATTTCGTGAGGCTGTAGCATAATACCCTCTAGGTTGATCCACATTGTCGCAAATGGGAAGATTTCATTCTTATGGCTGAATAATATTCCATGCATGTATGCACCACATCTAACACTCTCTTTAAGTCTCAGTGTCTCAAGCCTGGGCTGTTGAAATGACCTCAAATTGATCTTCCTGCCTCCACTCCTGACCCCTCCAATCTACCCCTAATGCTGCTCACCAGAGAGAAGGTCCTGGTGGATCTGAAACACATCCTGATCATATCATTACACACTAAGACCTTGACTTGACTTTGTGACAAAGTCTCCTCATGACCCACAGGCCCTTCACGAACTGCCTCCTGTTTTTGACTCTGGCCCTTCCCCTACCACAGTACCCTTCTGAGCCACATACTCCTGCAACCTTCAACACACCATGCTATCCCACACTTTCACACCTCTCACTCCATATTTTCTCTTCCCACTCCACTGTTGTTCATTAGTGACACTCCTATTCCCCCTTCAAAATCTTTCTCACATATCAACTCCTTTATGGTGTCTTTGACTCCATCCTGCATTTCACACCCCCAAGATGCTAAATTGGACCTGCATTTTTCTGTGGTGCTTCTGAGTTGTATGTGCATATTTGTCATTTGTTTATGTCTTTGGTCCCACCTGTGAGGTTGTAAATTTCAAATGAGCAGGCTTGCGTTTGATTTCATCTTGGAACCCCATTCTTAGCAGGAAGTCTGAATTTGGCAGAATGTTGAGGGTAAAACAATGAATAAGTAAAGAATCCTTGCCCTAGCTGGTTGGCTCAGTAGATAGAGGGTCAGCCAATGGACTAAAGGGACCAGGGTCCAATTCTGATCAAGGGCATGTACCTCACCCCAGTCAGAGAATGAGCAGGAGGCAACCAATTGATGTATCTTTCTCACATCGATGTCTCTCTCTCTGCCTCTTATCCTCCCTTCCATTATCTCTTAAAAAATCAATGGGAAAAATACCCTTGAGTGGGGATTAACAATAAATAAATAAATAAATAAATAATCTTTGACCTGGACTGAATAAGTTATTCATTGAGCACATACCATGTGCTAGATACTTTAAGAGACAAAGAAAAGGCATGGCATCTGTTATTTATGAGTGTTCTCTCTCTCTCTCTCTCCCTCTTTTTCTCTCTCCCTCTTTCTCTCTCTCCCTCGCTCTCGCTCTCTCTTCTCCACCTTCCCTCTGTTACACTCTCTCAGAAAAGCAATGGAAAAATTATCCTCGGGTGAGGATTAATAAAATCACAGAGAAAACAAACAAACAAACAAACAAACAAACAAACAAAGAATCTTTGTTAGTCTTTCAGGAAACCATGGAAATGGGGATGGAGTGAAGGCTGTAGCAGCAAAGGAAACACTCTCTGGTCTGAAGTGGTCAGGGGAGATTTCCTGGTGCTGTTAGACTTACCAGGTTAGGCAGAGAGGCGGGCACTCTGGAGCAAGAAGCTAGATGATACCGTTCGCAGCAACAAAGTTGGTATATGGTGGGCCAACAGTGGCCCCTGGGGACTCAAAGAGTAAGCATGGAAACTAGCCAAGAGACTATCAATCATACCCTTGCATCCCTTTGCCAGGGAAAGCAAAGCCCAAACAAAATGAAGACATTGCCTAATGTCAGACATCATATTAGGGGCGGGGACGAATGTAGATCCCAGGTTTCCCAAGTCCAGCAGTGTTGCTCAGACACCTACCCTTAGCACACCAGGGACAAAGCCAGCTCAAGTGGGCAGAAGGTGAGGGTTTGGGTAGAAGGATTGGTTATTCAGGGGTTCTGAATAATACCTTGTTGGAGGTCTAAACATTTTTTCCCACAGCTGAAGACACAGCACTTCTTCTTGTCCGGACAGGTTTTGTTCTTCGAGCACTCATCCCTTTCTTTGAATTGGCATTCCTCTCGGATTCTGGGGCATCTCTCTGTGGAAGAGACAGTTTCTCAACCATGAGTTATGGAGGGCACAGAGCCCATCTTCTCCAGACCCAAGGCAGCTGTGGGCAGTCAGGGAAGTTTGTTATTACTTTGCTCTTCCCAGGAGTCCTTTTCCTCAGGGTGTTTTTTCCCAGCACTTTCTGCACTACCCTCCTTCCTGACCATCCCTCACTCTCTACCTTCTTATCCCATCCCTAGTCCCACCACCAGCCCAGCTCGTCTAAGGGAGGATTTCTCATCCTTGATACTAGTGACATTCAGTTGGATAATTATTTGTTGGGAGAGAAGATCTGTCCTGCTCATCATAGGATGTTTAGCAGAATCCCTTCTCTACCCACTAGATGCCAATAGCACACTCAGTTGTAACCAAAAATGTCTCCAGACTTTGCAAATGTCCCCTGGAAGGCAAAATCACCCTATTAAAAGCCACTGGTCTAAGCAAATCTGTTCATTTGGCCTGGTCAGGGAGTCAGAGTTTGGGAATTCCTTCTTGAGGGGGAGGACTGTATTGCACAGTGATCAATACCACTCGCCCTGGAGACAGACAGGTTTTTAAATTCTTAACCCTTGGTTTACCACTTACTCTCTCTGAGCCTTGGTTTCTTCATTTGTAAGATCGTTTTAGCCTCACAGAGTTATGAGGAAGAAATGAGACAACACGTATAAAGCTATAATTACAGTAACTGATGCACAGTTATGTTTACTCTCATTTAATCACCATTATAATTCTATTAATATCTCCATTTGGCAGATAAGGAAACTGAAGAAGGTGGAGTTTAAGTAACTTGCCCAAGATTACATGGCTACTAAGTGGTGGAACCAGAATTTGGACCCACCAAGTCTGACTCCAGATCCCTCCCTTTAAATCCCTACTTTCTGAGTGTTCTGTAAATGGTAGCAATTAACATTATTACTATATAGTCATGGAATATTACTGTCTTAAGTTCAGAGGAACTTCTGGATACTGTCCTTCTCCCAAAAGTCAATGAACCTTTGGAGGTGCAGAGCTACTTTATAGGGCTGTATTTGAAATAATCAGGAATCGACAGGGATGATGTCCCATGAAAGGGAGCTATTTTTGTATGGGGTAAGAGGAAGATCCCTTAAGCCCCGAGGGTTCCTATAGACCATCCCACAAATGTTATATTCTATGACTCTTCCCAGGCTTTCCCCACCTCCCCCCAAGAAAGACTTCTATCTACTTCAAAGGGTTGCCTTGGCTCTGGATTCTTGCATTCATAACAGGGAATCTTCCACAGAGAGGGAAATAAGGAAGAAATATTCCAAATATCTCTCTCCTTTCCCAACCCAGGACCAAGGCTAAGAGAGTGAAAAGTAACTCTAGTTACTTGAGACCCCATTACTTACTTGGAGAGAGCAAGTCAGCCAGACTAAACCCTTGGACATTCTCTAGAAGGATGGATATCACCAGGATCCTCAAAAGTCCAGAAGACACCATTCTGAAGAAGAGCTGGCCTGTCCGTCTGGTGGTTCGAGAACATAAAAATGTCTGACTGCCTTTGTCCAGCCTATTTTTTTTAGTAGTCAGTATCTTGGATATGAAATCTGGAGTCAAGCCAGCCACCTTCTTTTTTTTCCCCCTGGGAACACCATGTTTCTGAGATTTTCAGTGTGGCTAGCTGGCAGCTGTAACCCACAGCCTGGGGAACGGTCTCTTATTGGATGGTTCCTGGTTCTGGTTATTAGCCCCCTGTGCTGGGCTGGGTCCTCTGGTCAACCATGGGGTGGTGGTGAGAGGGGTGGGCAAAGCTTGTCTCACTTTCCAGGCTACCTTAGAAATGAATGGGGTCTTCCTGATAACTCTGAGAGTTGTGGAATGTCCTTATTCTCTACTAATTTTCCATTTTATCTGCACACTAACTGGCATGCCCCTTTTGTTTCTGACAATGTGTCCTTTTGATCTCTTAGTATCTCTTTGCTTCTCTGTGTCTCTGTAGGTCTTTGTCTGTCTTTTTCTTTTTCCATAATCTCTGTGTCTCTCCCTTCCCCACACTCTCCTCCCATCTCTCTCCCTTTTCTCTTTAGGTCACTTATCTTGTTACAAAGGCCAATGAATAAAGTTGTTGCCCCAGAGCACAGTGTGGGGAAGGAGGCAGCTGATAGCAGCTTTTGCAAAGTTTATCAAGGTTGTGTTGCTATGAGAACAGGAGAGAATGTCAGAGCTTATAGAGAGCTTCTAGCCTCTGGTGCAAACTCCCTGTTGTCTAAGAAAGAACTATCAAATGAAGAAATCTGCCTGAGAGACCACAATACAATAAAGGTCAATAAAGCAGTAGAGTTGCCGAAACCGGTTTGGCTCAATGGATAGAGCGTCGGCTTGGGGACTGAAGGGTCCTGGGTTCGATTCTGGTCAAGGGCATGTACTTTGGTTGTGGGCATATCCCCAGTGGGGGGTGTGCAAGAGGCAGCTGATCAATGACTCTCTCTCATCGATGTTTCTAACTCTCTATCTCTCTCCCTTCCTATCTGTACAAAATTAATAAATATATTAAAAAAAATAAAGCAGTAGAGTTGTTGGATTCTAACTGGAATAGTTGGAGGGGCCATTGGAAAGATAGTGCTTGACTCCTTGGAAGCTTTATCTTTTTTCCCCATTTTTTCTTAAATTAAGGTATTATATGTGTACATATCTTACCATTGCCCCCACCCCCACCCCAATCCCATACATGCCCTCATCCCCCAGTGTTTTGTGTCCATTGGTTATGCTTTTATGCATGCATACAAGTCCTTCGGTTGATCTCTTATCTCCCCCAATGTTTCCACTGTAATTTGACAGTCTGTTTGATGCTTTACTGCCTATGTATCTATCTTTTTGTTCATCAGTTTATAATGTTCTTTATTATCCACAAATGAATGAGATCATGTGGTAATTTTTTTTTTCATCGACTGGCTTATTTCACTTAGCGTAATGTTCTCCAGTTCCATCCAGGTTGCTGCAAATGATAAGAATTCCCCGCCCCCCACCCCCTTTTTTATGGCATCATAGTATCCCATGTGTAGATGTACCATAGTTTTCTGATCCGGTCATTTACTGACGGGCACCTAGGCTGTTTCCAAATGTTAGCTATTGTAAATTGTGCTGCTATGAACATAGGGGTGCATATATCCTTTCTGATTGGTGTTTCTAGTTTCTTGGGATATATTCCTAGGAGTAGGATTATTGAGTCAAATGGGAGTTCCATTTTTAGTTTTTTGAGGAAACTCCCACACTGTTCTCCACAGTGGCTGCACCAGTCTGCATTCCCACCAGCAGTGCACGAGGGTTCCTTTTTCTCCACATCTTCACCAGCACTTGTCATTTATTGATTTGTTGATGTTGGCCATTCTGACAGGTGTGAGGTGGTACCGCATTGTCGTTTTTATTTGCATCTCCTGGATAATTAGTGACTTTGAGCATGTTTTCATGTGTCTCTTGGTCTTCCTTCTGTCTTCTTTCGAAAAGATTCTATTTATTGGATCATTTATCTTCCTTTTATTAAGTTGTATAAGTTGCCTATAGAGGTTGGAGATTAAACCTTTATCAGTGATAACATTTGCAAATATGTTCTCCCATACAGTGGACTTTCTTGTTGTGGAAGCTTTTTTATAGCCACAGAATCCAAAATATGAGCCAGTCAACGAATCTTCATAGAAGGAGACACTCTTCAGAGAGTCAATGTCATCTCTAAGGTTCCTATTCCCTTTCCTAACTAGGTATTGCACCTTTGGGCCACGCTTTGTTCTCTCATTGTTCTACCTGATGGAACGAAGCCTTGTCATCAGTGAGTGACTATCCGGTCACAAAATTTAGGATCATAGACAGAGCCCCTCAGCCTATGGATAGTGATGTCCTTGCCTAGGAATGCCTGAGGCACTCGGGCAGCTACATTCACTTATGTAGTGAGCCCCACAGACGTTCCCCCTGCCACCACCAGGACCAATGTGGTGCTTGAACCAGCCTTGTGGTTCTTATTATGATTGCAGGACTCACCACTACAAAACCATCAGGGAACTTAGAAGAACAACATTTATTACTTGCAGGTCCCAAAGGGTACATGGCAAGCTGGAGGACCACACAGCCAAGTTGAGGACAGAAAGCATGAACCTGGGCTCTGTCTTTATTAACACCCAAGTCTGGGGTTCCACAGTTCACTCTCTTAGATAATTTAAAGCATAAAAGAAGAAATTAAAACATGGGAGGGTAGAAGCAGGACCACTCACGTGTCAATTATTTAGGTTACTAGGGCTTTCTAAAAGGCAGCCTGGTTCTTGACCTGGTTATTTTGCTCACGCTATGTCTTACAGCTGGCAATATGTTTCTTAGAGGCGGGTATCTTTGGTGTGAATATACTATTTTACTATGGAGTTAAAGGTAGAGAGGAATAGTGGGTTCAAAGAGAATGAAGGTTATGTCCTTAGAGAGGGCAGGGCCTAAAGACCCACAGAGTCTTAAGTGTCCAACTACTTCCCAGGGCCCCCAATCATGGTGAAATTGTCTCTAAATTTTCTTGAAAGTAAATGAAAATTCAGAATTTCTTTTTTTCTTAGCAGAAAAAAAACCCCACAATTTTATTTCTATCAAATTAAAAAGTTTGAATAATCCTCAAGCAAGATAATCAAAGTAATCAGTAATGCCATGAACAGTTAGAAGAGCATTTACAGATTAGGTTTAGACACTTTGAATCAAGCACATACACCCAAGTCAAGAGGGCAATGGTTTTCACACTGACTGGGCACAAGCACGTGACTCCTGGGAAAGTGGAGTGACATTTCCCAGGACAGGAAACCAGGAACAAGTTGTCATGGGGTTAGAGAACTGAGCTGAGCTTGAGAGGGATCATGGTGAAATGCCATTGGAACGCAACAGTTTCCCCCATAGATCTGTTCATCTCTAAACCAAAAGTCTATAAAAATAAGCAGAACAAATTCTCCTGAAACTAGAAAAGCCCTCAAGCCCCGGCACCTTGGAGCTTACATAACGACTGAGTTTTTTTGTTTTGTTTTGTTTTTCCCCTTTACTCTTCTCCAAGTTAAATACAAACCAGTTCGTTCCTATTTAGTACATTTCTGTCTTTACAGCCAAAGTTTAAGACAAAGAAAAGAAAGATTTAATGAAATGGAGTTAGACATGTACTAACGCCGGGGAGAATCTCCTGGGTGCACTGCTCCTTTGAAAAGTTTTACACAGAGAATCTTTTATTTCAAGAATGATGCCTCCTGGAACAGCCTACTTCTCACTAAGGAAGAAAGGACTATCTATGCCACACAAAAACTTTCTCCCTTTTGGAAATGTTTTATTATCTCTACCTCTTTCTCACTCTTTTTCACACACACACACACACACACACACACACACACACACACACACACACACAAATTACGTTGGGGAATTTGCAGAAGCATACAGATAACAGCGCTTGTTTTGGCCAGAATTGTGCGATTTGTTAAGGAAAGATACGGGATGGCATTTATAAATAATCATCATTATAACACATCGCAGCAGATGCAGGAAGCAGGTTTTTCTTTGTAGTTGAAATACGGCTTCCTGGTTTCCCAACACCTGGGTCTTGCACTCTTTTCCTCTGCCAACCAAACTGGCTGGGTTATATACAGAAAGGGAGGAGAACTTATGACCAGACCACATTTCTGTCCTAATAGAAGTCTCTGTCACTGGGTTCTTCTTTTGAGAAACCAAATAGATAAGGAAGTTACTAAAAATGGAGGGGAAGAGAAAGAAAGCAATTCATACTGTGAAAATGACTCATTTCCTGGCAAAATTAACTGCAGCAAGAAAAGATGCTGTCTCTTAAATGAAAGGTAAAACATGAAATTCATCAGGTAGATGCAGATGCCTCCTCAGATCCTGTAATGCGGCAGGGTTGAGACACGAGCCCTCTGGATATACAGGCTGCAACTAATACCAGGAAACCTATTTCCTGTCTCAGCACCAGAGCATCAAAAGCAAAAATCTCAGGAGCCAGCAAATAACTGTTTCATCTATTAATAAGAATGGAGAGCCCTAACTGGTTTGGCTCTGTGGGTAGAGTGTCGGCCTGCGGACTGAAGGGTCCCAGGTTCGATTCCGTCAAGGTCATGTACCTTGGTTGCAGGCACATCTCCAGTAGGGAGTGCACAGGAAGCAGCTGATGATGCTTCTCTTTCATCGATGTTTCTAACTCTCTCTCCCTCTCCCTTTCTCTCTTAAAAAAAAAAAAATCAATAAAATATATATTTTTTAAAAGAATGGAGAGCTCAAACTAAAGAAAGGTACCAAACAGTCCCTTTTGAATTTCCTGACTAATCCCTGTAGGTACTTGAAAACACAAATTCACATAAACAAGATTATTTCAGCTCTGGCCAGTTTCGCTCAGTGGTTTGAGTGTCGGCCTATAGATCGAAGGATCTAGGGTTTGATTCCCAATTAAGGCTGTGTGCCTCAGCTATGGGCTCAATTCAAGT